GTGGTGTCATCTGCATATCTGAGGTTATTGATATTTCTCCCGGCAATCTTGATTCCAGCTTGTGCTTCCTCCAGCCCAGCATTTCTCATGATGTACTCTGCATATAAGTTAAATAAGCAGGGTGTCAATATACAGCCTTGACATACTCCTTTCCCGATTTGGAACCAGTCTGTTGTTCCATGTTCGGATCTAACTGTTGCTTCTTGACCTGCATACAGATTGCTCAGGAGACAGGTCAGGTGGTATGGTATTCCCATCTCTTGAAGAATTTTCCACAGTTTGTTGTGATCTACACAGTCAAAGTCTTTGGCATAGTCAATAAAGCAGAAGTTTTTCTGGAACTCTTTTGCTTTTTTGATTATCCAATGGATGTTGGCAATTTGATCTCTGGTTCCTCGGACTTCTGCCTTTTCAAAATCCAGCTTGAACATCTGGAAGTTCACAATTCACATACTGTTAAAGCCTATCTTGGAGAATTTTGAGCATTACTTTGCTAGCATGTGAGATGAGTGCAACTGTGCTCTTTGGCATTGCCTTTCTCTGGGATTGGGATGAAAACTTACGTTTTCCAGTCCTGTGGCCACTGCTGAGTTTTCCAAATTTTCTGACATATTGAGTGCAGCACTGTAACAGCATCATCTTTTAAGATTTGAAATAGCTCAATTGGAATTCCATCACCTCCATTAGCTTTGTTTGGTGTGATGTTTCCTAAGGCCCACTTGACTTCACTGTCCAGGATGTCTTCTAAATGGCCTCTCAATGGCCATATTATTCTAGAGCCATTCAGATATGAGTCAGCAAGTAGCTGGACACATTATATAATTGTTCTTGAAATCCATGTACTGAAACTGTAGTCTGTTTTCTGTGTTGTATTATGATTGGCTATGAGCAAGAGAAAACAGTCTATACAGGGTCATGACTGGGGAGAAAGAAGATGGATATTCTAAATTAGGTGGTCAAGCAGGAGTTTTACTTCCGGTTCCACAACAAAGCTTCTTCCTTGCCTACAGAATTAGGCATTGTGTCCTATCCACTGAGAAACACTTTCATCCGTATATTATCTCTTATTCCACTTCCTAACTCAATTCCTTTTAGTGAATAGATATCCATCTCAAACTGAGAGCAACTGAACTAATGTTATTTTGGTATGGGTCAGTAGCTGCAATTTTCAGAGTTGCAGCACGTATGGAAGGGAGTATCTGAACACTTATATAAAGGAAGGCATCTTAAGCTTATGATGTCATCTCCTTGCTGGTAAGTGACTATCATTTTCCAGTGACTGCAGGCACACTTTTTTTTTGTTGGGGGGGGGGAGGCGGGGGCAGGGAATGAGATATCAGAAAAAATTTTGACATGCAAGTTTCAGAAAGTTATTTGTGTTGTTACTCAAAGACAGTAGCTGATACCGCCCTGGGGATACAGCAAGTGATGTTGAAGACATCAGAGAATTTTCAGTAGTGCTTTTATTCTTGAAAGCATTAATACCAGCTTGGAGAAAGAACTGACATGGACGTTAAGACTAGCTAAACTAGGACTTCCCTAATGGTACATTAATAAGAATCTGCCTGCCACAGCAGGGGACATGGATTCCACGCCTGGTCCGGGAAGATTTCTACATGCCTCAGGGCAAGTAGGCCAGTGTGACACAACTATTGTGCCTCTGCTCTGCAACAAGAGAAGCTCCTGCTCGCTGAAACTACAGAAAGCCAGTGCACAGCAAGGGAAACCCAGTACAACCAAAATAAATGAATTAAAAAAACACCTTAATTAACTTTATTTTTTTTAAGTAGCCAAAACTAGTAAATGTGAACAAGAACTTGGAGTATCATGTTTATTCACGGTTCTAGAAAATTTTCATTAAGCAGAATACACAGTGTCAGGCACTGTTTTAAGTGTATGGAAACCACGACAGATGAAAACCTGTTCTTTTCTCATACAGCTTACATTCTTCAATGAACACAGAAAGGAAACATGAAAGAAAAAGTGTGTAATTTTATAGTAAGTTTTAATGTGATATTAGAAAGTTCAAAGACTCATCTACATATCATCTAACTCAGATATGACTGAGACTTAATGTACGATTAACCCTGAGGCAAAATTGCTCTCCACATGTAAAACCAAGGGTTTCATGCTTCGAAAATGTAATACTGAAACAGGCAAAAGACAGACATTTCCATTACAAAAAGGGGAAGTGGGAAATACAGGAGTGAGGGGTGAGCGTTGTTAGTGTGAACTATTGTTGTGGTTGTGGAAGAAGCGAACTTTGGAATCACTTTTTAAAACAAGACAGCCTGGTTTTTCTGATTGTGAGAGAAAGTAAGACGGGAGTCAGGTTTTGACACCAAGATTTTTGGTGTTGGGAGGTGGAAGTACAGAAGCTCCATCAACAATGTTGGGTGTTTTGTAGTGGTAATAACTCTTATTGGGGTATCAGCAGTTTCCTTTTGAGGGTATATTTCAGAAAACGAAAGAATGGGGTTATTTAGCAGGTAGCCAGATACACAGGTCTGGAACTATGGGGAGGATCTCTAGATGGACACATCTACAAAACTTGGTGGACCGTGTGTGGACCAGGGCGAGGTTCTATTAATATTAGTAGGAGGAATCCTGAACGTGATGATAATGTCAATAGTAAGTCAGAGAGAGGTGAGTGGGTGCCACAAGTGCATCTATTGCTTGGGTACAAAAAACTAGGTATAAAATAAACTACGAGGATATACTGTACAACATGGGGAATATAGCCAATATTTTTCAATAACTATAAATGTAGTATAATTTTTAAATTTATGACTCACTATACTGTACACTTGTAGCTTTTATAATAAAAATGTCAAAAAAAATTTTTAATAAACTAAAGTTTGCAAGTCATTACAAAACTAAGCCCCAATTTAAGGCCATAAAATATACTTTTGATTTTTGTAAATAAAAGTACAAACAGTTCTCTGGTGGCCTAGTGATTAGGATTCTGAGTTTTCACTGCTGCAACAAAATACAAAATCATTCAAATGGCAAAAATGACTTGTATAAAACAAACAAACAAAATTGTATTTTCTGTATCCATAAAACATTGGGCAATATTTTGTAACAGGCAATTTTTGTGAAAACTATCCAAATACTATACAATATGATAATTTGTGAAAAATTCATTTTGATTTCAAGTTTTACCTATAACCAGACAGAATTAAGGTTGCCTGATAATTTAAAATGTTTCCAAAACACTCTGACTATAGAATACTTACACCATTATAATACTTATTACTTTATCACATACTTTCATCAGTCTCATTCGATTGAATTTTTTAAAAAGCTTATGTGGAACCTTTCCAGTACAATCAAATGAATATTCATTAAGAATGCTTTCTGTCTTTCTAAGCAGTTATCTGTGGTTTATATCATCTTAGATTAAAATTTTATTTTTAAATAAGTAAAACTTGCATTGACTTTCAGGGGAAAGAAAAAACACACTGTAACAGAATTGGTTATTTCGCATTTCAGCATAATAAATGAAATTTGTTTAAAGAGGATCTGAAGAGAATTAATTTACCAGCTAGGGCAAATAGAGAGAAGCCATCTCTCAGTACAGTTGAAAAAGAATCAAAATGCTTCTGTGGTAACCCATCAATTGGTGAGTGTGCTCTCAATCTCCAGAGTCAACGGATTCAGGAAAAATAAGCTATAACCATGAACACATATAGACTGAGTAAAATTTCACAGCATATTTACATGGCATTTATATTAATTTACATGGCACTCTATAAAATGCAACAAAATAAGGATATAACTAATACAATAAAAAAGAATAAATTAGTTAAGTACAATAAGAGAATTGAGAAAAGGAGAGTTACAAAAATATTTTATATGACATTTTTAAAATAAATGGCACATCCAAGTTCAAAATACGAAGCCTGGAATTTAGCTGTAAGTGCTCAGTGTTGTTATCTTTATTGATCCTCCCAGGGCCAAAGCTAACACCTCAATGTCAAAGTCAGCCAAATGAGGCTCAGGAAGCTTTAGCAAGTTTCCCAGATTACTTCCCACTGGCAAATCCACACTGAGACCTCACTAACCAGCAGCCCCCTCCTGGATGCAGACAAGTCCCTGCGGGCTGACCCAGATCAGGAATTGTGGGAAGCCCCATTTATTTCTGACATGCATGCACCCAGGGATAGAGGGGTCTGACGATATCAGGGAGAGCTAAAAGTTCCTGGCACCAGGATCTCACCAGTAGAAGGAGCTGCATGGGAATTGACAGCTCCCCTCTTCACATCTTTCAGTGGATCAGAGGCAGGGCAGCTCCTAATCTCCATTTTACATAAAAGGAAAAGGGCGTGGGGAAGAGTGTTTGCCTGTGGGTCCTTGAATTGATCGGGTATACAAAATTTAAACTCAGGTAGCCTGGATGAGGACTGGAGGAGTTTGACCATTGACCTCCATTCCCTCCCAACCAGGCTTTGGGATTCAAAGTAAAGACCAGTCCATCCTGATGAAACCTTGTCCCCATCTCTAATCCACCAATTTCTATGGTGATAGAACCAAGAAAAAGCGCAAGCATTATAAAGAAAGGCTTTATTGTATTCTTAAGTGACTAAACTCAAGAATGTGATAGAAAATATGTTAACAATGCAGGTAAAATTTAAAAGCATATGTCTAAGCATCCACTGCACTGTGAACACTGGAAAAAAAAAAAACAAAAACCTTTTAGGTTAAAAAATTCTGCCAGTATTGAAAAGTTACTCCATAAAGCAAATTACTCACAATATTAAAAGATGAGTGAAATTCCAACATACATCTTTGTGGTTTCGTTGTCCTATTTGTTAAAGGAAAATAGCTAAAGGCCAACAAAGAAAAAGATTTAAGCAGACATTTTAACAAAGATACATAGCTAGGAGATGAACATCTGAAAAACTGCTCATCATGAATCCTTACAGAAACTCAATTAAAACAAAAAGTGATATAACTCTAAAAAAAAAAAAAGCTAAAATTAAAGCAATCGATAAACCAAGTATTCAGAATATGGGCGAGGTGGAATTCTCAATATATTGCTGGTAAGATGCAAAAGGCACAATCATTTTAGATCACAATGTTAGCTTCTTCAAAAGTAAAACTGTTGTGGGACTTCCCTGGTGGTGCAGTATTTAAGAATCCTCCTCCCAATGCAGGGGTTGGGGTTAAAGCCCTGGTCAAGGAACTAAGATTCCACATGTGGCAGGGCAACTAAGCATTTGGCCGGCAATAAAAACCCACTGCAGCCAACAAGAGTAAAACAGCTGTGGCTCATACACTGCATTCTAAGTTACTGACAAAAGATAAACACATATTCATACAAAGATCTAACACAATTTTTATACTAGCTTTATTTTCAGAAGTCAAATTCTAGAAACAAGTCAAATACTCATAAAGAGAATGGATAAACTAACCATGGCATATTGAAAAATATGTCTTATTTTTGTCAAGTCAAAAAACAAAAAGCACTACACATCACTGATGAATCTCAAAGTAATTACGATATATAAAAGAAAGGAAAATATAGTAAATAGCATATGATTCCAATAACATCAATTCAAGAAAATGCAAGGTATCTATTTTAAGGAAAGTAAATCAGTGGTTACTTGGAACGGTGACAAAGGCAAAGAGATTATAGAACAAATGAGGTAAATACACAATGAGAGATATGGTCACTATCAGGACTACAGTGATAGTCTCAGAGGTTCACACCTATGTCAAAACTTGTCAAATTGTACTTTAAATGCACTCAGCTAAGCAAATGTAAATTATACTTGTGTGTGTGTGTGTGTGTGTGTGTGTGTGTGTGTGTTAGTAGCTCAGTCATATCTAACCCTTTGTGACCCAGACTGTACCCCACGGGGTTCTCTGTCCATGGAATTTTACAGGCAAGAATACTCTAGTGGGTTGCCATTTCCTTCTCCAGGGGATATTCCCAACCCAGAGATCGAACCCTGGTCTCCTGTATCTCCTGCATTGCATGCAGGTTTTTTTGTTTGTTTTTTTGCATGCAAATTCTTTACCTGCTGAGCCATCGGGGAAGCCAGATATTATACATTAGTAAAGCTTTTAAAAAATAGCTCAATTTAAAGATCTCTACACCCCAGTCTTTTTGACAGAGAGGTATGGTAACCATATACTCCATCATCTCTCTCTTTATGCCCCGGGGGTGGGGTGGGGTGGGGTAGTAGTCAAACTTGCATCAGTGGCAACAAATATGGTGAGTAATAGAGAACATTTCCACTGAAAGTCAATGGGAATGCTGTCTGGGTCACAAGAGCCACAGCCAGGGACTAGACCCTCTTTTTATTTTCTTCCAGTTCATGTGGTAATGGCTTTGAGATGAACAATACAGAGGGACTATCACTTTTACATGGACAGTTGTGTATGCACGTTTAGAAGCAGCACATTACACTAGTTGACTGCAGTCCTCCTCTCCCTACAAATCAGTATTTCTGCACCAGTTATGGACCCAGTGGTATTACAACCAGTTACACTAATCAGGGAACATGTTTCTCTTAAGACCTGGGGAAGATTTCCCTCCACAGTGCTGAAACACCCTGGAATATCTCTGTTTAGAAAGAAAAAAATAATAATAATGCTATGCTCAGAAGCACTTGAGATTCTCATCTGCCTGCTTCTCAGTGTCACCTGGGAGACTCCTAAAACAAAGTCTCCAGGCTTCAAGTGAAAACCAGAAATCCCTGCAATCTTTCCTAGAAATCTGCGGCTACAAGGCAGACCTGGTCATATCTGGCAAGCTATTGTCAACATAGCGGCCCCCCTCAAACAGAAATTTTGAGACCCCTAAAAACTGTTCTCCCCTTTATGCTTACACAGCACAAATCTGTGAACTACCTGCACAGTAAATACAATGTCCAAGATGAAAGAGGACTTAAGAGCTTAGACGGTCTCAATTATTGCATGAGCCAAAGTAACCTGCAGCAAGAATTCATCATTTGGAAGCTTGAAAACCTTATTACTAGTATCAAATGCGATCAACACATCCCTGCTGCTATTCTCTGCAAGTTGCCAGCTGAACTTCTCATAGTTTCTGGGCTGACACTGACCAGGTCCATTTCCAAGATAGTCAGGGAGGAGTGAAAGTTGGCACTGTAGGCCTCAAGTGACTCCTAACTTGGCTAAAACATGGGCAGACACAGTAAGTCTCCCTGACTACACAGAGTGAACCTGCCAAGTGCTAGATGTGAAGTGGCTTTGGCCACAAAGATGGGAGTGACATATATGTGGGAAGAACCCTGGAAAGGTTAGAGCCTGCAACATAGCCACACATTTCCCACATAACTGAAAATCATGAGCAATCTTTCCTTTGTGCATACACAGATGTCTGGGAGCTAATTCAGATAAATGAATCCTCAGTTCTCTTTGGTATCCTTACATTGAACAAGATAACTGCACATCCCCTAAACATCTAAGGCCTTTCTCTAGTGTGAACTCTCTGATGTTGAGAAAGGGTAGATTTTCGCATAAAAAATTTCCCACATTCTCTACACTCATAAGGTCTTTCCCCAGTGTGACCTCTCCGGTGTTGACTAAACTGGGAACTGTCTCTAAAGGATTTCCCACATTCACTGCACACATAAGGCCTTTCTCCTGTGTGAACTCTCTGATGATAACGGAGTTTGGAGCTAGAGATAAAAGATTTCCCACATTCACTGCACTCATAAGGCCTATCTCCTGCATGAACTCTCTGATGATAACGAAGGGTAGAACTGGAGGTAAAAGATTTCCCACATTTGCTGCATTCATAAGGCCTTTTGCCTGCATGAACTCTCTGATGATAAGAAAGGGTGGCACTACTAGTAAAAGATTTCCCACATTCACTGCACACATAAGGTCTCTCTCCTGTGTGAACTCTCTGGTGTCGAATCAGTATAGAGCTATTGGTAAAGGACTTCCCACATTCGTTGCACTGATAAGGCTTTTCTCCCCTGTGAACTCTCTGATGATAACCAAGGCCAGAGATAGAGGTGAAAGATTTCCCACATGCACTACACTCATAAGACCGTTCTCTATTATGAATTTTCTGGTGTGTTGAGAGGGAAGATTTTTGGCTAAAAGATTTCCCACATTCACCACACTCATAAGGTCTTTCTCCAGTGTGAGCTCTCCGGTGTTTATTGAATTGCGATCTATCCTTAAAGGATTTCCCACATTCATTGCACTCATAAGGCCTTTCTCCAGTGTGCACTCTGTGATGGTAACGGAGGCTGGCACTAAAAGTAAAAGATTTCCCACATTCACTGCACTCATAAGGTCTTTCTCCTGTGTGAACTCTCTGATGATAACGGAGGGTAGAACTAGAGGTAAAAGATTTNGTGATGGTAACGGAGGCTGGCACTAAAAGTAAAAGATTTCCCACATTCACTGCACTCATAAGGTCTTTCTCCTGTGTGAACTCTCTGATGATAACGGAGGGTAGAACTAGAGGTAAAAGATTTCCCACATTCACTGCACTCATAAGGCCGTTTTCCTGCATGAACTCTCTGGTGATAACATAGTGTAGAGCTGGAGGTAAAAGATTTCCCACATTCACTGCACACATAAGGCTTTTCTCCTGTATGAACTCTCTGGTGTTGAATAAGTGTCCATCTATTGTTAAAAGATTTCCCGCATTCACTACACTTGTAAGGCCTTTCTCCTGTGTGAACTCTCTGGTGTAAAAGCAGGTTATTCCTTCGGATAAAGGATTTCCCACATTCACTACACTCATAAGGCCTTTCTCCAGAATGAACCCTCTGATGATAATGGAGGTCAGACTTAGAGATAAAAGATTTCCCACATTCATTGCACTCATAAGGCCTTTCTCCTGTGTGAATTCTCTGATGATAACGGAGGGCAGAGCTAGTAGTAAAAGATCTCCCACATTCATCACACCCGTAAGGCCTTTCCCCAAGGTGACCTCGCTCATGATACTGTAGGGTGGAGCTACAGGAAAAAGATTTCCCACATTTATTGCATACATAAGGCTTTTCTCCTGTGTGAATTCTCCGGTGTCGAATGAGCGTCCACCTATTGTTAAAAGATTTCCCACATTCAGTGCACTCATATGGTCTTTCTCCAGTGTGGACTCTGTGATGATAACGAAGGCTAGAGCTAAAAGTAAAAGATTTCCCACATTCACTACATTCATAAGGCCTTTCTCCTGAATGAACTCTTACATGTATAATTAGGTTATTTTTTCGGGTAAAAGATTTCCCACATTCACTACACTCGTAAGGCCTTTCTCCAGTGTGAACTCTGTGATGATAACGGAGAGCAGTACGAGTGATAAAAGATTTCCCACATTCACTGCACTCATGAGGCCTTTCTCCAGAATGAACTCTCTGATGATAACGGAGGTCAGAGCTAGAGATAAAAGATTTCCCACAATCACTGCATATGTAAGGTCGTTCTCCAGTGTGGGATCTCTGATGATAACAGAGTGCAGACACGGAAGTAAAAGATTTCACACAGTCACTACATTTATAAGGCCGTTCTCCAGTTTGAACTCTCCTGTGTGGAATGAATACTGACCTATGGCTAAAAGATTTCGAACATTCACTGCACATATAACTCTTTTCTCCATTGCACCATGGGTGGGGAGAAATGAGGACAGATTTGTGACTTAAGGATTTCCCACATTTGCTGCACTTGTATTGCCTTGCCCCAGTATGAATTCTTCGATGTTTATAGAGGATTGAGCTTCGCTTAAAGGATTTCCCACATTCACCACACATATGAAGGTTTTTTCCAGCATGCACTCTCTGGTGCACAACAAATGAGGATTTGTACCTGAATGCTTTCCCACATTCGCTGCACACAAAACAAGGTATTCCAGTATGGACACTCTGATTCTGAACAAGTGTGTGTTTGGGGCTGAGGGCTTTCTTGCATTCTCCTGAGGTGTGATGACTTCTGCTCTGTAAAGTTGACTCACATTGGGTGCCTATATTTGGCTTCTCCACAGTATGAGTGGTCTGTTGCTGCAGGTGTCCCACAATGGTCGGAATGTCCTTTTCAAGCTCCCTGCAGGTAAATGGCTTCTGTAACACAAGGAATCTGCAGCTCTTGAAAAACTTGGCCTCATCCACACTACTTCTGAGGATTTTCTCTCCCATGTGCCATTCCTGGTGCTGCTGAAAATTTGCACTAAAACAAAACTGTTTCACACATGCTCCACACCTCAACAGTTTTTGGGTGTGTTGTGTTTCCTGGTGGTCAGACAAGTGGAAAACTTTTTTCAAGACTGCACCACAAGTCTCACAGGGGTGCATCTTCTGGGAAGACAAAGCTGCCTTTGGAGTCCTAGCCTGTGATACTCCTAGAGAAGTGATCAGTTCAGAAGGTGCCTCTGCATTCTCTGTTCCACAGCAGCAACCTGAACAGAAAGAAATGCAGGTCAAGTACATATTGACTATAGAGAAGGGTCCAGCTCATCATTAATGTGTACCTATCTCATCCAGGTATGAGTCTATGAGATGCTTTTCAAGATACAGGAGTTGGAATTCAGCTGGAAGAACAGCCAGCTGTTGTGTATTAGTGAGTGTCAAGGTCAGACAATAGTGGAGACCTCATCAGGAGAAAAAAAAACAGAAACAGGGTAGGACACAAGAAGAGAGGCAGGGTCTATGACTTACTTCTCTTCCAGTGGCTTCCTGTAGGACTTTTCTGCTGAGACTTGGTAGAAAAGGTTATCTAAGCTCATTAAAATCCCACAGCAACATATCAGCTGCTATTCAAAATCAATTCAGGGAAATGCAAACATATCATAGCACAATAATGTTGGTGAGTACTACAGAAAAGGTAGTGAGAGAAATGGGAGAGATGTGGAGTCCAGAGAGGTGTGAAGACCAGAGATGTGGAGTCCAAATAATCAGTCCAGATTATCCCTGGGCTAAAGTCACAGTAGGAATAACAAGCAGTACAACTGACAAGTCAGTCAAGTGTTAACAGTGGAAAAGAAAAGATAGAAGTAGTATGGCCATGCACTGGAAATGGCACCTAAACCCTGGTTGAACAAAGACAGGTTCCTGCTATGATCTGAACACAGTCTGATGTCATACTCTTCTCAGCAGCCATTTACCAGGACCAGGCCCCCTCTGAGCCCACCTCACCATGACTGGAGTCATGTCAATCCTGGGACATCTATAAGCACTAGTTAAGCAACTACATAGGACATGCAGGATAAAAATCCTAATGGAAAAACAGGACAGATGAACAGCTTGTACTGTCACAAAGCAACTCAGCACATAACAGATGCAGAAAAAAGATTCAGGAGAGTGATGTCAGCAAAAGAGCAGAGGACATGAGCCTTCGCCACCAACAAAAAAATACACAAAAGCAAACAAAAGTTGCCCTTGGAAGACTCAGGAATCCAATTAAGATACTGCAGCAACAAATTGAAATTGAAATGGAAAAAGAACAACACGAAAATGATCACCAAAGATATTACCTTAACAAACACGTGGAGATGGACAGGAAATAAGATGAAGGGTGGGAACTAAGTGCATCAGCCAAATGATGGCTGCTGTCACATTCCCAATGGCCTGCACTGCAAAGGATCCCAGTAGCTTTTACCTTAGAGAGCCTCAACAGGCCCTGCCACACTTGCAGACCCCACAGTGTGCAGAGCAGAGGAAGGCAAGTGTTTACAGGTGTGAACCCCAGCTGCCTGCTCTGCAGAGGACACTGGAAGCTCTCACACTAAGGTAACTAATAACCACCACCATGAGGCACCTGCAAGAGAATAATATTGTGAATCATCCCTGTCCCAAGTAGCTATTGCTCTATTTTAGAACCACAGCTGCCATCCCCATAAATCCTGAACACACCCTAAACCCTTGAGCCCCACCTAAACCACATTTGTTCATATTCTATAACCTGACTCCACGTCTGTCACCTGAATGTCTGAATGTCTCAGGTGCCAGATTCATGGCCACTGTGGGTGTGCTAGTTCCTCAGACCCCAGAGACACTGTCTCTCTGTGTATACCCATACTCTGGTCAAGGCTCCACCACTGCTCATTGTGCCACTGCATCTCACAAAGCGAAGTCAACACTGAGACAGACTATTCATTGTCTGGGATCCTAAAAGTGCTACTGCCTTGCATCTATTCACATCCTAGAGTTCAGATCTATATCTGCTCCACAGAATCCACACATCAGACACCAATGCCATCACCCCTATGAAGCATTCCTCCTCCAAGAGCCAAACTCCACATTAAGAGGGACCCCCTAAGTCAAAACATTTCCCATGGGAGAAAGAAATCAGGAGAGCCCTAGCAGTCTTTTCTACTTCTGTGGACACCACGGCTTTAGCTACTGAGGACCCTGCAGTCTGTGCTGACACTGACCTCAGGTGACAGAGCTGCAAACAAAGCCACTGGGTGTTGTTGTGGGTGCAGCAGCCACTGTCCATCAAGCTAGCACACTCACACCCACGCAGAGGTGAGGCTCTTGCCCACCAAAACCTTACGTAAAGCCTGAAAGAAATGACTGCTCCATGAAAGGTACTAATCAACATAAGGCTTCAGGAAACACAAACACAATAATCGAGGAAACATGACACCCCTGAAGGAACAATAATCAGTTGCCCCAAAGAAATGGAGAGCTACAAGCTGTCAAACAAAAAATTTATAATAATTATTTTTTTAACTTTTGAAAAATTTACATTTTGATTAAAGGATAACTGCTTTACAGAGTTTTGTTGTTTTCTGTCAAACCTCAACATGAATAAGCCATAGGTATACATATGTCCCTGGCTCTTGAAACTTCCCCCTCCCACCTCCCTCCCCATTCCACCCCTCTAGGTTGATACAGAGCCCCTGCTTTGGTTCCCTGAGACATACAGAAAATTCCCATTGGCTACCTATTTTACATATGGGAATGCAAGTTTCCATGTTACTCTCTCCATACATCTTACTCTCTCCTCCCCTCTCCCCATGTCCATAAGTCTGTACTCTATGTCTGTTTCTCCACTGCTGCCCTGAAAATAAATTCTTCAGTACCAACTTTCTAGACTCTGTGTATATGTGTTAGTATATAGTATTTATCTTTCTCTTTCTGACTTACCTCACTCTGTATAATAGGCTCTAGGTTCATTCACCTCAGAACTGACTCAAATGCATTCTTTTTTATGTCTGGGTAATAGTCCATTGTGTATATATACCACAACTTCTTTATCCATTCATTTGTTGATGGACATCTAGATTGCTTCCATGTTCTAGCTATTGTAAGTAGTGCTGCATGAACATTGGGGTACATGTGTCTTTTTCAATTTTAGTTTCCTCAGCGTATATGCCTAGGAGTGGGATTGCTGGGTCATATGGTGGTTTTATTCCTAGTTTTTTTAAGAAATCTCCATACCATCTTCCATAGTGGCTGTATCAATTTACATTCCCAGTTCAAGAGGGTTCCCTTTTCTCCACACCCTCTCCAGCATTTACTGTTTGTAGACTTTTTGATGATGGCCATTCTGACTGGTGTGAGGTGATATCTCATTGTAGTTCTGATTTGCATTTCTCTGATAATGAATGATGTTGAGCATCTTTTCATGTGTTTGTTAGCCATCTGTATGTCTTCTTTGGAGAAATGTCNTCATTGTGGTTCTGATTTGCATTTCTCTGATAATGAATGATGTTGAGCATCTTTTCATGTGTTTGTTAGCCATCTGTATGTCTTCTTTGGAGAAATGTCTGTTTAGGTCTTTTTCCTACTTTTTGATTGGGTTGTTCTTCTGGCATTGAATTGTATGAGCTGCCTACATATTTTAGAAATTAATCCTTTGTCAGTTGTTTCATTTGCTATTATTTTCTCCCACTCTGAGGACTGTCTTTTCACCTTGTTTATAGTCTCCTTTCCTGTGCAAAAGCTTTTAAGTTTAATTAGGTCCCACTTGCTTACTTTTGTTTTTACTTCCATTATTCTAGGAGGTGGGTCACAGAGGATCTTGCTTTGATTTATGCCATTGAGTTTATGTTTTCCTCTAAAAGTTTTATATTTTCTGGTCTTACATTTAGGTCTTTAATCCACTTTGAGTTTATCTTTGTGTATGGTGTTAGGAAGTGTTCTACTTTCATTCTTTCACATGTAGCTGTCCAGTTTTCCCAGCACTACTTATTGAAGAGACTGTCTCTGCCCCATTGTATATTTGTGCCTCCTCTGTCAAAATTAAGGTACCCATAAGTGCATGGGTTTATTTCTGGGCTTTCTACCTTGTTCCATTGGTCTATATTTCTGATTTTGTGCCTGTACCATACCATCTTGATGACTGCAGCTTTGCAGTATAATCTGACCAGGCTACAAGGCATGCAGGCTTTCAGTTCCCCAAGCAAGGATGGAACCCGTGCCCCCAGCACTGAAAGCCCAGAGTCTTAACTACTGGCCTGCCAGGGAAGTCTCTCACAATAATTTTTTAATTTTTTATTTTACATTGGCGTATAAAGTATAGGTGATTAACAATGTTGTGACAGTTTCAGGTGGAGAGCAAAGGGACTCAGTCATTCATATACATGTATCTATTCTTCCCTTAGCTCCCTCTCATTCAGGCTGCCACATAACACTGAGAAAAGTTCGCTGTGCTCTACAATAGGTCCTTGTTGGTTATCCATTTTAAATATAGCATTGTATACAGGTAGACCCCAAACTCCATAACTATCCCTTTGCCCTCATTTCCCCCACCCAGGAACCATAACTTAATTCTCTAAGTCTCACAATAATTGTTTTAATGAAGCTCAGTAAGCTACCAGAAAACACAGACAGACAATTCAACAAAATAAAGAAAATGATATACAAGTAAAATAAGGCTTTAAACTGAGATCCAGAAAAATATGAAAAAGAATCAAACAAATTACAGTGAAGAGTATGATGAATGAAATGTAGAGCATTAATAGCTAATTTGATCAATCAAAACAATGAATATGAAATGGAAAGTAGGCCTTTGAAATTATCTAGTCAAAGGAGACAAAAGATAAAATGACTAAAAAGAGTAAAGAAAAAATTCTACATGAATTATGGGACATTGTGAAACAAAATAATATTTGCATAATGGTAGCCCTAGAAGGAAGAGAGTGTGAGGAAGGGTCAGAAACTTTATTTAAAGAAATAATGAATGAAAACTTTCCAAATCTGGGAAAAGAAATGGACATTCAGGTACATGAGGCTTGCAAGTCCCCAAACAGATTCACTCCACAGAGGACTGCACCAAGACACATTAATATAAAACTCAAAGTGATGACAAATTATTTTGAAAGTTGCAAGAAAAAAGAAAGTCATCACTCAAGGGAACCCCCATAAAGATACAAGTGGTTTTCTTAGCTAAAACACTGCATACAGTGACAGTGAGATATGTTCTAAATGCCAAAGGGGAAGGGGTGGGGGC